GCTAACTCGAAACACCATCTTAGAAGTCATATATATATATATATATATACACCCTTATTTGAGATAAATGTTGAAGATTTTTTTGACTGAGTTTCAACAACTTTTCATCTCGAAATGTACTACGTGAAGAAAAAACACTCTGACATACCAAATTAAAATAGAGTACAAGAAACTGATTAACTCATTACTCAAAATGAACTATTTAATATGAATAGGCTGACGCACATATAATCTTTTTAAGATAAGTCTTAGATAATAAAATCTCGTTTCTGAGTACTGTTACTAAAAAAAGAAGTAAAGAAGAAAACATTTGACTCCATCCTCAAGCTTATATACATTTTCTCTTTCTTTCCTTTAGATTGAGAAAAAATTTTTATAGAGCAGAGTCTTTGATGTCAAATCTTATAGAGGGTGTGAGTATGGTTCTTCTATTTACTCATATCAATTTTTTTGCCGTAGACGTCATGTCATACTACAATCTAAAGTTGTTTTTCTTTGCTACTTAATTAAAAAACGATCGAGGGAATTATCATTTACTTTAATCAACTTTTTAAGTAAGGGTTTCCAAATTCAAACCATGCTGCGCATGATAATGGATATTTCAAGAATACATCGAATACTATTACAGTTAAATAGTATGCATTCGTAATTTGAAACAGGCCGACATGATGATACGTTTCTTCAGATTTTTATAATTACATCGCTATCGTATTCTTGACAAAGAAAAAAAAACGAAGCACTTTCACTTTCATTTATCATATAGCATACATTGATCAAGAGAAAAATATGTCTAACTCAACGAATACAGCGACTGGCCTATCATCTAATTTAGCACAAGCTTTAATAATCCTTCCAGTGATGGACAAATATATGCTGATTATCCTATATATTTGTGGCATTCTCGGCTCATTACTCAATATTTTTACACTTCTCCAGAAAAAATTTCGCAAAAATCCATGTTCACTCTATTTTCTCTCGGCTTCGACTACTGATTTCTGTGTTATGAATGCGGTTCTTATGATGGACGCCATGAGATATTTAAATCCATCATTATTGGCCTACATGAATTCAACCATAGTCTGGTGTAAACTAGGCAAATATCTTGTGTTTCTTCTACCTTGTCTATCATCTACTTTTATCACTTTCGCATGTATTGATCGTTTCTGTACAAGTTCACATCGTCAAAAGATTCGTAAACTAAGTCAACTAAAAGTGAGCCGTATATTAATACCATTAGTATTCTTGATATGGGTTGTGTTCTCACTCCATGTTCTCATTTCATACGATATTATGCCATATACACCAACAAAATCAAATCGATGTAGTAGTCCACCAAATGAATTTCTGTTTATCTTGATTGTTGATGGCTATTTCTTCTCCTTGTTTAATGGCGTCATTGTTCCTCTATTTCTTTTGGTTTTTGGGTTCTCAATATATCGCAATGTACAACTAAGTCGTAGACGACTCGCTCCAATGACCAACACAACCAGTGACAGAACGATAGTAGCAGTACGCAATCCAAATTTAAATCGACATAATTTACATTTGATCACCATGGTCTTAGCACAATCAAGTCTGACAGTCTTTTTGAACATACCATACATGGCAATCTATCTCAATAGTTTCTATAATAATGTTCCAACCAATCAACTGCTGCTTCTTGTCTATGCCATATTTGTGTATATTGGACGATGGTTCTGGTTTCTGAACTATGTCAAAACATTTTACATTAACAGTTTATCAAGTCAAGTATTTCGAAACGCTCTTAAACAACAATTCATCAATATCAGTCATCAATTGAGAGCACAAGTTCTACCATAGGGAGTGTCATGATGCCTAATTATTGATATTCGATACATCAGTTTTGGTCTTCATATGACTGTTCAACAACAATATCAAAATAAAACAGACTTATCTTTTTTTAAATGACTGAAATGTCTTGAAGATAAAAATAACAGAACTTAATCCTTCATATCTCAACTTGTTTTAGATTCTGTTGGTCAAAAGTATTGTAAAGGTATTAAGATGCTTGATCAGGAGACTGTGCTGATTAGGTGTGAACGTTTGCATGAAGAGAAGATTTACATCCACGATCATACTCTCGAAGGAGTTCGATGTAAACATAGTAGAGATCTCATGTAACATCCCTTCTACAAAATCCTTCAAAAAAAAGAATATTTTTTCTAATTTGTTTTTAACGTCTCTCTTTTACTACATTAAAATAACACTTCTATGTGCATAACGTCATACTGGCTTTCAACCAATGTTCTCGATTGTTTTCATTAGTGGAAGAAGCTAATATTTGTCAGAAAGTATCTACTTTTTTTCGCAAGCACTTGTTAAGAATTCTAATTTAGATTTTTTCTTGTGAGAATTTGGTCAAAATCGTGAACTGAGTCTAGTGACTAGTTCTAAGCAACATGGTCAGGACTTCATCAATTATAAATCGAATGATCCGCTTAATATGCGATATCTAATAGCACCAGTTCAGTTCTCTGATCGGAAAATATCACAAATCTAATGCAGACTCTGTCATGTTCTCTATCAGATTCTTACAGAGCTGCACGAATCAGAAGTTGCATCAAGTCACAGAAACCGCTCTCTAAGTCAATCAATTCAAGTCAAGAGGATCGAAACATTTTTCAAAAGTCAAGTTAAACTTATCACTCGTGCTGATCATTCTTATACTCAACTTTCATGAAATTCTCATTTCATAAACCTGAAATTTTCATAGTTCCAAAAGTCTGATCATTTCGAGAATTCTAGTCAGTCGTATCAATATTCTCGTAATTTTGGATAAATATCTTTGATCACTGCATCACGTACGTTGGCTGTATCTACAATGGAGACACAAATCATTAATTTCATCATTATCCGACTTGAACAGAGCGATACAGATCATTTTCAATCGGTAGTGTCATTGTGTCATCGAACCTATTGATTCTCAGACAATTTTTTCTCTTGTATACAATACATGGACGATTGAATTATACTACTTGCGTCACGTGAACAAGAAGAGAATCTATACATTTTCTTAATATAAAAATACCCTTAGCAACGAATTTTTTTCATGTCGTTTTACTCTCCATAAAAAGTCAGTAACAAGCGAAACACGATTCGGTTCTTTGAGGTGTGAAGAACTGGTATTTTCTCTAGAATTCTATATCGGAAACACAACACCTAAATAATAGAAAGAAATGCGAGATAGAAACGTGAATATGAATAAAAATGTGTCTTTCGAACAACGACGAATGAATTTATGAGAAAAAAAGAAAACTTATAAAAAATCTACATTATCACACGTTTTTTTCTTGGCTTATTAGCTACCGTGCGAGAAGAGAAAAAGTTGTATTCACGCGCCCGATATTTAGCACTTTTTATACCGTCTTGTTAGTGATGCACACTCTTTTAAAAGAAAAAGAATCATTAGGGACCGTTGAGAGTTTCAGCGAAGATGCTGAACTTTTTAACGTTGAATGTCTGCATTATTAAAGCACATTTTTAAATACTGAACTTCTTGTACCAGAATGGTTTTAGCCCAAGACGCTTGAATTACATTGCAAAAAAAACACTAAACGAATTCTTTTTCTTTCTCGCCCTCCAGAATAGAGATAGCTGTTTTCCAATCAGAAATAGGAGCAATTTAAATCTTTCCTATATTCATTTATTCATCATTCACTTTGCAGTCGCGCTTGCATATTTTATGAGTGTATCCAAACTAGTCTTTAAGATCTTAAAATTTTATCCGATAGAAACAGTTTCTGTCTGTTTAACGTCTCACTATGTTGGAATTTCATGAACCACTTCCAGGATGGATTCTCTGTACTTTTTGCAACGTTGATTGTTTCACCACATTGAAACAAAAAATTTACAAAACTTTTTTCGTGTGATAGAACGTTTGTTCACCAAGCAGATTTCAACTATTAAATTATATGCCGTTTCATGTCACTTAACCTCCGTAGTATTCCAGTTAACTAACAGAGTACAACATTTATTCATTGTCAATTTAACATAGATAGAGATCAATAGACATAAGAGAAGCACTAAACATAGAACCACTATATGTCAATTTACCCGTATGGAGATTTTAAATCATGAAGATAGATCTAAACTAACTAAACTATTTGATGAGATCTTCAGAACATATTCGAAAACTATTATGACAATTCTTCTTTAAATCCTCATGCTTACTATTATAATCTATGAATAACAGAAGTATGAGAAAACATATCATTTATTACTTGCGTTGACAATCCACCAAACATACTTCAAATCAGTCCAATGAAAACTGTGTATGGGCTCTATTTGAACAAAAAAATATACGCAAATAATTAGAAAGCAAAAAAAAATGTAATCATTTAGCTCGAAGGTTCAAACAAAAGGGCAAAAAACTTGATCAAAAAATAATAATAAAAACAAACAAATTTTGCTTTCTATATTCTAAAACGGCTGAGTTGTGTAACTCTACATTTTCCAAAAAACTTTTGTATCGCTTGCTATATGTCGACATTTCTTATTCTCTTTTTGGTTTTTTTTCCCATAGATGAATGAGTCATCATTGGGATGTATATTCGATGTTTCAGTAGAGTGGTACGAAAAGAGTTACTGACGACATTTGACACACGAAAACGAAAGAGAATATGTAAAAATATATCGTCATTGAGTCAACAACACGTATTGCGATCTGTTGTTTCTTCTATTTGTGTGAAGGTATGCAGAAAGAAACATGTTTTCAAATAGCTCTATTATTCTCTATCAATGCGTTTGAATATTTATCACATATGAATAATATAATTATTTAAGATCACATAAAATTCTTGAACACACATGAATTTATTGAAACGGAAACTATCTGTCGATAAGTTGCTTGATGAAAGAACGCAGATATTACGAAGTATATTTTTCATATAATTAATATTATGATATATTCTCTATTTTCTACTAGTGCAACGAGTCAGACACTATAAAGAAAAGTAAGTAATAAAAGTTTATCTTATTGTATGCTTTTTCTTTCCTCTCGTAGGTCACCGATTACTTGTATCGAAAATTTACCTAATGAACTTTTTTATGAGATTTTTGATTATCTCGATGGTTATGAAATCTATACTGCTTTTTTGAATCTTAACGTTCGTTTTCAACATATCATTACTAGTTCATTACTTCCACTAAAAATTAATCTTGATTCAAAATCCAAAACACCGATTAAGAATCTTTGTAGTAACATAATCATTCCAAATAACAATCGTATCCGTTCTCTTCATGTACAAAATAAAATACTCAGTGATGAGTTTTTAACAGAATGTATAATTGATTCATCATTTAATCATCTTGAATCAATTGTTTTAAATGAAATTACAAATGATAAACTTCAGATACTTCTTCCGAATTTAAAAAATTTACCTCATCTCTTCTCGCTCACTATTTATTTGAAAATCGATTATTCTTATAATTTTAATGATATTTATCAAATGATTTATCGTTTACATATTTTGAAATACAATAAATTGTCGTTATTAGACAATAAACAATCAAATCTTATCGTATCATCGACTGTAAACGTACAATTCAGCACGATCGAATATTTAGTCATTGATCATAACTGTAGTGTTAATCAACTTATGTCTTTACTTAAGTCTACACCTCAACTTCGTCGTTTACAATGTAAATGTTTGATAAATTTGGATCGCATCATGGAAAACAAAGATAAATTAATATTATCTCATTTGTTATATATCTCTATTGCACAGTGTTGTTTGAGATTTGATAAATTTGAAACATTTATCACGAAAATTTCTTCTCAATTGGAAGTCTTGCATATTACTACATACCGAGATATAGCTTATCTTGATGCTGATCGATGGGAACAATTAATTGTACAGCACATATCGCATTTGCGTAGATTGAACTTTAATCATTATCATCAAGTTCTATATAATAAATGTAAATATGATGATTTCAGTGTGTTAACCAATCGATTTAATTCACCATTTTGGATCCAACGACAATGGATTTTTGAACTTAAAATGACTCGTACAGGATTCATTGGTACAGTTCATTCACGTAGAACATGGTCCGATCTTTCGAAACATACAGAAGTTACCTTAAATGATAACTTCCTACAAACTGTTCAATATTCTTCTAATATCCAATTTACTATTGCAGACTCTTGTTCTGCAACATGGTATCAATCAGTGATTAATGAAATCAATCCAATTTTCTTTACTGTTCGATTTACTCGTTTACATATTAATTGTAATGAAATATATACTCGTACTTTTGTTAAACTTGTACAATTATTACCAAATCTTGAGTCTTTGAAACTTTCATCTTTTCCATTTCTCCAACTAAGTTATTTATCTGATGAAGATACACAAAATCTTCGTTCTATATCAATCAAAAACAAAATTACAAAAGTGAGTTTCAAAGGCATGAATGATTTTGAACAAGTTTATTTCATCATCTTTCTTTGTACTCATATGCAATATCTCGAGGTGCGATGTACAAAACATACAAATGTTGATATACTTTTACGTTTTATTTTATTACAAAGTTTCACAGTCACTCCTCATCTTCGTTCATTATACCTTTATGTTCCTAACGCAAATGAAGAATTAATTTACAAGTTGCAAACACCTATTTATCATGAGAAATTGCTGAATAATTATACAATTAAACGTTGTGGTGATAATATTCATTTACAATGGAAATAATAATAATAATAATCTCAAATCAAGTCTCGGATATTTATGTCGTAATGATAAATATAATCATAAAAGCAAATGATTTGAAACTGTTCAACTATGTAGAGTACGAGTCTGGATGTAGATATAGGTGTGAACTATCTATTAAGGCATACCTACACCCACACCCATACTCAAATTGTACTAGGATGATCATCAATATTCAATTTGTATTTCACCAAAATGATAATAACATAGTTTATACCTTAAACAATCAAGTAATATTGATGAATCAAATTCATCAATAGGCAATTTATCATTGCCGATTAAATGATTTTGTTCGCGAATATCTTTTGCGTGTTCACATATTTATAAAAGAGTAAAAAAAACAAGAAACAAATAAAATCTCATTTCCTCTTTCCTAATGATCCATAGCTACATTCATTCATTAGCAATGTGATTTCTCAAAATAACAAACACTAATATTTCTAGACTTGAGCATTTCTTTGAGCAACGACACAAAATGAAGAAGAGAGGTTTTCACTGCGTACGTTTCCTTTTAAAATTTCCTTCAAGTTCAAATAATATTTTTAACAACTAAATAGTGCATTTTGTAGAATAGTCTTTAGCCTACAAAATCATCACACAAAGTTTTTCCTGAACAAGTTTACATTTTTCAAAAAACTGCGATATGAATTAGTGTGAATATAGAAACGAACGCTCCTTTCGTAACTAATAAGAAGCGCAAAAAAAACAATTCTAAATGGTAAAAAACACTTTTGAGAAGTCGTTAGATGATAATGAAAGAAAAAATCTTACTCGAGAACAACAGCAAACCTCTAGAAAACTGGGTTCTTTTTTAGAAAACTATTTTCAAGAGTTCTATCTTGCTGAAAATTTCATCATAGACGTAGTCTATGGAGTGAAGCCTACTATGAAATTCTTTAACTCTTCTACCATTACATTAGAGACTTATTCGCTGATCAGATTCAATTAAATGTAAGATGAAAAAATCAATATTTTTACACATATTCATATTAAAAGAACTTATTCGAAAAAGATAACTCATATATGAAGAATCAATGATGATCATGTGGCATTTTCATTAATTTTATCTATATATATGGTCAACATCAAGCATTGTCATTATTTTATAAGCTTCTGATTCATTATTTGACATAGCTTTTTCAATCAGAGTAATATGACTAGAGTATAAGGGAGCGAATCAGTATTATCTTCATTGACACTCACTGATATGTTTTGATAGAAAATGTTGTTATACTATCGAATCATTATAGTCAATTTTCTTTTACAAAGCAAAAAAAAACGATGGCTATTAAATCATCATACTGCAGTAATTTCAATTTTCTTTTTAACAGAAATCTTATCATTGAAAAGCATTTCATCATATTTGAAAGAAAAAAAAAAAACATTTCGTGTTACTAATGTTTTTCTGGTATGTTTTTCTTTTATTTGTGTGTGTCAGAAAACTTCATTCAAGGAGTTAAAAAAGACACTCACACACAGATATGAAAAGAAAAAGAAAGAAGAGAAAATACAAACAATTGTTTTTTGAGAAAAAAAGAGCGATAACGAAAAAGCGAGATCGAGCGAGCAAGTGAAAAAGAACATGTGTGTATATAAGCTGATGAAAAAGAACAAAAAAAAAAAAGAAAAACTTCACATTACACAATGTTCTTAATAACGTGCAGATTCTGTTTTATTTTTCAAATACAAAAATGAAAAAGATAGAATACTAAAAAAAGAAAAGAAAGAAAAACAATTCAACTTTTTTTAGGTCATCGTGTATTAGTTCACAGATCACAAAAAGAAATCGATGACTATTGCTTCTTAGGTGAGAGATAAAAAAGGCATTTGAGCCGATATTCGAATGTTCTTTCACGAATATTATTGTCTTAACAATCACTGTTACCATAGATAGACATGAGAAAAATTAAAGCACGATTAAACTGTACATATTAAAAGTATGAAAATGAAAGAAATAAGAGCTCAAAAAGAACAAAAAAAAAAGATAAATGGCACCAAAAAGAATCAACTTATGCATCTTTAACAGTTTTCTTTCTTTCTTTTTTTTTTTTTTTAATAAGACCAATTGAACATTACGTGCATTGAGAGCAAAAGAAAAAGAAAGAGTAAGTCTATTTTTCTAGTGTAAAAAATATATGAAGAAAAAAAAAAAAACTCTTAAATTTGTAAAAACACAAAAGAAACAGACGATTAAAAAAAACCGAAATGGGATGTATCTCGAAAAAGTAAGCACAGATGAGAATAACCAGAGACAGATAATCACAGTAATTCGTACTGTCTCAAGTGCACACGTTGAATAATATCGCGACAATCATTAAATACTCGACGAATGTTTTCTGTATCAACAGCACATGTAAAATGTGGATAACACGAATGACGATTGTTACCACCAGCTGTGCTAATTCGCTAAATAAAAAAAAAACAAAAATAACACATAAAACAATTTCAATTTAATTTTACTTACTAAAAATTCGTCACGTATGAAATATTTAGCTCGAGTTACTTCAGCAGGTTCATTTGGTTCAGATTTTTCTAAAATAAAAATTATCAATGAATATTTATGATATAAAAACAAAAACAAAAAAAAAAACATATGAAAATTATCAATTTGGATTAATTCAAAATACACAAAGAATAACAAACAAAAGAATGTGTTTTGAATTTAGCTTACTATATTTAAAAAAAGAAGGATCTGTATGAAAAATAAATAGATAGAAAAATTTCCCTTTAAAGATTTAGTTTAGTTCTATTCACCTAATTCAACATGTGAAACAACATAATGTTCAAATTCAGGAAAAGTATCTTGAAGTCGACGACCAGCTTTAATTTTTTCTGCTAGAAGATCTTGTTTATTAAGAAATAAAATAACCGAAATTGTTTTTAACCATCTAAGAAAAATTAATAGAGAAAAAAAAGCAACCAACAATAAATTTTCTACCGATTATTCCAAATATTTTTAAATAATTCAAGTGATTCTCTCAATTGATTTTGTTTCTCATCTTCAATAAGCATCAAATTAAAACCACTACATGCTGTAACAAATATTATTGCTGTAACATCATTAAAGCATTGAATCCATTTTCGACGTTCTTCACGTTGTCCACCAACATCAAACATACTATTTAGATAGATTATATTATATTAAGTATTTAAATATTAACAAATACATACTGAAAGCGCACACGTTCAACAGTAAAAATTGTTTCATAAATACCTGACGTAAGAACACGACATCGAAGAATATCCTTTAAAAACAAAAGTATTATATATAAACAATAGTTTACAATTTTCATATTTTTGATTTTTGACAAAATAGTTGATAAGCTAACAAGAAAAACCACTCGTTTTTCATAAATCTTTGACATCGAGTTAGAATCTTTTTACTGAATTTTCAATCCAATTTTAGTTGATATATTCGAAAAACAGTATTTCTCTGTGAAATTTTGTCGATAGATAGATATATTGAATCATCCTTAGAATATCATATAATATAAATATTAAGTTTACTTGAAAATAATATGTTTTGACCAAGAAAGTTTCCAGTAAATATCTGATAATGAATCTAAAATTCAGTAAAGCAATCATAACTCCATTTCAAAGGTCAATAAGGACGAACTATTTTAGATTTTTATTAGTCTCATTAAGGCAGATAATAGAGCCGGTCTAAGTTTTTCACGATCATTATCGGTACTGATCGGAAATTCATATCAGTATTCAACTGACAAGTATAGATACTAAGAGAAAGAAAAACGTCATATTAGTAGACTGACCGGTCTGAAATCGGAACCAGTATCGGTATCATCTTTGCATCAAGACATTCTTATAAGTTGAATCAAAGCACACATAGCAGGGTATCACTTGAGGTGTTTCCCTCGTGAATAAACGTTTCAGTTAAAATTTTTCATAAAAAAATAAAGAATCATTTTATGATCATATCTGCGATGACGACAACAATGATTAGTATGTTTTTGATGACGCTAATGTTTTGCGTATCTGATAATATCGTTATTGTGTAAACGAAAGAATGAATAACAATTTCGTATTGTCTTTTTTTTTAACCTCTATTGCCATTATTCACTTGTGTCTCGACTATGTTTCAATCTATATGCAAAGTAATTGCATCGATTATTGTACTTTTTTCTATTTATGATAAGCTATTCTGCTTACTCTTGATATGATACATATCATGACATCTATTCTTTCTTTCTCTCTCGATTCAAAAAAATTCGATTTGAAAGTAAACTTAAGATAGAATTCATCAGCTATTTTCAAGAAAATAAAAATAAATGCTGAGAATTAACGAGCTTTTAACGACATATCAGTTTTTAGTACTATTGTAGATTCGAAACATATAGATTTTTCCATGATTTCAATCCGAAACTGTAACTATATGTTGTCGAGTTCTCGCGAGATCAAAATTAGAAACAACAAATATCAAAAAATTTCGTCCGAACTACAATTGTTACTTCATAAGTATTTTTCTTATATTACAATGGGGCACGGAAGTAGTGATGGTTTTTTCTGAAATCGCTTTTATATGTTCTCGTTTTGTCAAATAATTCTGATCTATTGAATTTATGATGCTCTTTCAAAAGTAAAGAATCGAAAATAAAAATTATCAAATTATTCATAAATGCCAAAACACATCAGAATGAGTACAAAAATATTAGGATTCACTGCAATATATTATATCTAGAACATTGTTTGTATGCTATACATAATATGTGTTAATCCTACGAGATAACGCTGAGCAAATACAGAATATTTCGAACATGAGTACCCATCATTTGCACCACGAGTACGCGTAGTTGTCCGGCTCTGCTACGAAAGACCTAACGGAGTAGCAGATCTACCATCATATTCGATGTTATCCTTTGTATACAAAAACTTTAATCTTATTACAAGATCTATGTATGAGAAATCTGAACGAAATCCTTTAAAAAATATTTTGACAAAAATAATCAAATCTTGTTGCATGTTATTTCATCGAGTGTTTCGTGGTCGCATAAATTTCGAAACTTTTTTTCAGTTCTACATCAAACTATTTGATGAATCATTTGATTGTATTGAATAATCGATTTTATAAAAAAAAGCAAAAAAGAAAAAAAGATCTCAATGATTCATACATACTTGATCACTGGGTGTGTAATTTGACCTTTTGATTTCATTAACACGATCGAGAAAACTATAATATTTAGAAAGATAAAAAAAGAACACGGCAAAATAAAATTTATTTCAAAACTATAAACTACGAACTATTTAGCGGAATCGATTAATTGATACTCGTTTGATCTTTGAAAACATTCTTGTACACCACCATCACGCCATAGGACTTCCACATGATCAAAAAACTCTGGAGGATAATCAAAATCTAATTGATGTGCTGTTGTTAATATATATGTAGCACGTGCTTGATTTTCTGAATGTTCTAAACGCACAGGTGGATTAATTGTATCAAGGGCACGTAAAATACTCTATTCAATATAAAAGTTATATTGAAAAAACAATTTATATAAAATAAAACATACGGTTAATGAATCACGTATGTTACGTTTAATATCCGGAATTTTATCGAGTTTTTCTCTAGAAATAAAATTTAATTAAATTAAAAATAAATTAAATTATAATTAAAATTATACTGTGGAGTGAATGGATTATGTAAAATTTTCATTTGTTTAACAACTGTTGATTTTCCTGATTCACCTGCACCTAATTGAAAAAGAAACCAAAAAAATGTTAAATGAGAACAAAAAAAAAAAAATAAATAATTCAAAAATCAAAACAAACCCAAAAGAAGTAATCGATAAGTAGCTTTATAAACTTTTTTATCTTTTTCTAATTTTGCATTGATTTGTTTATTAATTTGTTTCTGTTTTTTTTCTTCATCACTTTTCGGAGCAATACAACTCCAAAGTTTAGGCATTTTTTTCTTTTTAACTATACCGTTTGTTGTTCTATTATCGTTTTCGAATGAATAATTCGTCATTTATACCCATACAAACATGGACAAAAAAAAGTGCGCGGATTTTTCTTTTAATGAAATAAATTTATAAAATAAGATATTTTTATGATCTACAATGAATAACATATGAAATACAACGATTATTAAATGATTTTTCTTCCAAGTACACGTAATGGTATGTGTACGCATGAAAAACGAAACGAAAATTTATGACAAGAAGTTAAAAATATTCGAAATAGTTCATTAAACATCTATGCACTTTGTTACAATCGAAAAGATATGACTAAGGAAATCTATTTTAGAAAAAACTTTATAAAAAACATACTATAAAATCGACTTAATATTTTTATTTTTATTATTTTTATCATTATTACTAATTAATAACGAAATTAAAGAATAGATATTTTATTGGTTAATATAATTAACCAATCAGAATAACAATAAAATATCTTTTTATACAATTATTAATCAAGACTAATCTCAATCGAAGATTTTAGTCTTTTAATAATTTCAACATTATATATAGATTTTATGAAGTAATACGAAAAATTCTTATTTCTTTTCTTTATAAAAATGTAATTATTCATTCAAATAATATTAAATCAATCGAACTTTTTATACTCGTAAATGTTATGTCTACACTTATGGTACAAGTTTTTATTCTTATTAAATGCCTGGAGTCAGACTGCTTGACGTTTTACTGACGATTAATATTATTTCTAAAAACTATCGTTCTTTTCGGAAGCAATTTATTTTTGATAACTATACTGTTTCTTGTACAAAAATCCCAAATCAGTAATCAATGATTACATGTATTTTTGCGTGACTACAAAAGCTTTAAAATAAACGAGTATCATGCAATGCATACATAATATTTGAGAGTTTTATACAAGTTTTAAGAATTTCTTTTCAGAGAAGAATTGCTAAACTATTGAATAAATGTTTATTGTTTAAGGCTAAGAAAATTACTTAGATTATTTTTTTAATACCTCATTGAATTTATTCGATAATTTTGATATTAAATAAAAATATATTGATATATTTTCAAAGATAATTTCTTATTGAATTCGATTCAACATAAAGTAATAATGATAATAATGAGTATATCATTGACGATACTATACTATGGACATTCATTAAACAAAAAAAAAAACAATCGTGTTCGAAAGGAAAATATTTTGGAACTAGGAAAGTCTAATATAGATTTTTATTAGATGACGTTCGTAACTTTACAGTATGTGTAAGATGGTTTGAAATAAAATCCATTTAATCAGTTATTAGTAACATAAGTTGGCTAATCCATACTGCTATGAAGTAAAAAGAAAAAAAAAAAAGAATCTTAAAATAGAAAATAGGATAAGTCGACTTGATTAATTATAGAGAGTAATTTTCATCATAGTGTTACGTACGATGTAATTCAACTTTTGATAATAAACTAGTAAATATATACTTGTTCATCTAAAGAATAAATTTATGTTAAGTTTTCAATAAATCATAATTTCGAACTGATAGTTTAACTAATTAATTAATCTCTATTTGAACAATCGGTTAATGATCTCATGCTGGAACATTTTTCATTATCAAATTACTTTTCCCTTCTCACTTTTGCCATTCGATCATTCATGATGAATAGAAAGGAAATCTATTTTAGTTTGGTTTTCTGATCTTGGTTCATCGAATTATGAGCGTCTTACTTGACCTTTGTTCTATGAGTATAGAATCGTTGAGAGAGTCTGATTAATCCAAATTTAAGTTAAAATTTAATTCACTTTTCAAATCTGGAGTCAGAATAAATGTATCCTAAACAAGATATTCGTGTATCATGAAAAAGTTCAGTTTATCAAATACATATAAAAATAAACATTTAAATATCTTAGTAAGAATCTGTTAGTTTTTTGGAACAAACTTTGAAAATTTGATAGTTCTTAAACGACCTATCTCTAAAGTAAACTTCAACTTAATATTTGATCAATCAGAGGTTCAGTGATCGTATACTCTTAGGGCAAAAATCGAGTACGACACTCATCAATCAATAAGGCAAAACCTGAAAACAAAAAGCAAAAAAAAGACTATTTTTACTACTCATCATGACAGATTGAATGACAATTGTTTCAAGTGAATAGCGGTTTGACAGTTAGGAACATTCCGTCGGAATACAGACAACTACTTTATCACTTGGCAATATATAGAAAATGATCGATGATGTATCATTAATATCACTAAATATAGATACAATTTCTACATTTACTATAAATAAACTCAACCGTCATTCAGATGCAGTTGATTTTAATTCATTGAAATTCATCACATTATTTTTAACATTTCACATATACGGAGTATAAAATTGTACTTTGCGAAGAAATATCCTTTGATGTAATGTCTTTCGGCGAATAATCATCGTATTATTCATTTTCAGGTGATTTCTTTGTATGATGTAGTTTTTTGTTTTTTGATGATCATGACGTCAATACATAGGATAATATTTTTTGATAGAACAAATCAATAAATTAATTATTCATAACATTAATTGGATGATCAATTTTCTAATTCTATTTGTTAACTGTACAAATTTTGTATTCATCAGTAAATCTTTTCTCCTACCGTTCTCACGGATCAAGTGATTTACGATGTCTGATAAGCGAATCCAATAATAATACTAAACAATATTTGTCTTCTTTTTGCCTCTCTCTCTCTATCTATCTTTCATTTTGCACAAATATTTAATTAATGAAAAATCCTAATTGGAATATTCCTTTGTTTTCTTTTTTTGCCTAAGATAAGAAAAGTAATGTGAAACAATTTAAATTAACATAATCATAATTGCAAACAATTGTTATCGATAAGAAAATACAAATTTCTTCCTCTTATTTCTTTCTTTCTTTCTTACAATTAAGAATAAATTTGATTGGTTGAAAATTTCGATCAATAAAATATTATCCATTCCATATTTTAACCAATTCGTTCTTTCTTCTAGTATCCTTTTTTTGCACAAAATCTAGTCATTTATCAAAATAAATTCTTCTGTTTTATTTTATTTCTCTTCATTAAAATCAATGTCAAAAAATGCAAATACAATAAATTCATTTTGTACAAAATCTGAAAAATATACAAATGAAATAATCTTAGAAAATTTTGGTTTACTTCGTCGTATGTATTCAAATTATTTAACAACAGAAATTTATGAACATTGGAATTGGTCATGGTCTTATATAATTCAACCAACATATCAAGAATCAAAATTTCGTATTGTTGTACAATTTAATAATTTACCATTAACACCAGGACATTTACTTGCATTTAAAGCTATTATATTTAAAAAAAATAGTCAAATAACAAAATCAAGTGAATGTATTTGTTTAAAAGAACATTTATGGGTAACAGAAAATTTAAATATTCTTGAATTATGTTCACTTGATGAACTTGATCAATTTATTTATAAAGATACTTTACGTATTATGGTTATTGTCAGGTAAGATAGGAAAAAGAAAAATCTTTTTAAATGTTTTTCGATTGTGACTACACCATTTTTTACTTTATTAGAGGCCAAAATTTCTTTTTTTTTATATTAGAAAATATTTTCATCAGTTTTTGAATTTTCAAGTTATAGCTTTGAGAACAAAAAAATAGTTCTCAATAGATAGATTCGAAGAAGGTCGAAGGTTCACTTGTGATAACGTATAGAATTAATCTGATTGTTCTTCAAATTTTGAATAATAATCTATACCATGATGATTGCGAAAAATACATAAAAGCTAGAATTAGACGTGGAATTCGTCGGAGTCAGATTCAAAAATTTTTGTACCTGATGGGCTTTAGTCACCTGAGAAATATGTAGAGTGCGCTAGTCATCGAAACTGAAAAATTGGAAAATAGTATTTTGTATCCTTGAGGCGAGTGTTGATTCCGGTTAGAAAATTTCACTGAGAACATGAAAGTATGGTTAGTCTGAAAGAAGCAGAAGAGAAGGTTTTCTTTACAAGATATGAGAATGTCATGTTTTTTTTTTTGAAAATTTAATGCTTTGCAAAGAATACATTCTTTTGAGATCAAAACTTCTGAACATTCTAACGGGTACATCAAAATAAAAGAAGATCTCAGTGTTTTAACTTTTCATTTGGTCAAATTATTCTTGTTTTTAGCCTTTGTAGAAAATTGAACGAACAATCTTTGAGAAAAAAGAAAAAGAATAACTCGATAGAATGGAGATGAAAAAAATTATAGCAAAATTTCGGGATCCGGACAGTTGCTCGACGGACGGTTGCTCGATAGGACACTTGTTCGCGAATGACATGATCGCTTAATTTTCAGTATAATAATTCAAGACAAAATTGACTGAACTGATTAGTCTATATGTAGAGCACACTGACTGTCATTATCTCTGTAATGTTTAGTCGTATTCAATCATCATACTTATTGTTATCTTTATAAAGCTCGAACTCATAGACAATTAGTCAGTTACAGTGGCGTACGCAGAAATTTTCCAAGGGAGGGGCCCAAGTTCTTAAGAAGGAGGCCAGTAATGGAGTTTTTCAAAAACTTGTACCGTAGTATTTTTTTACACGTACTCCTCCACGGGGAAATTTTCTTCAAGGGGGTCCGGGCCTCCCCTGCGTACGCCACTGGTCAGTTAGAATTAGGCATATGCGAAACCATAAGAAAAAGATTTATCTAACTGTCATTCAAGTTTCTAGTAAAATATTCTATAGGTTTCAAGTAAATTTTCTTATAATCATATGAATCAAAACAATAAGTACTGAAGAATTATTTAAAATATTAATCAAATACTTTCTTCTAGATCAGTGCTGGGACGTAATATTTTCCTTATAAGAAGATCACTCAATAGAGATAATCTTCACTATATTTACACTCTAAAATGCATGATACAGATCGGATAAATTAATATCGAATTTCTTTTTTTTGCATTTTCTAGACATGATTGGCTTGTTAAAAAATTACAAATC